CGAAAGTAAGGGGCACCCAGTGAGGATTGAACTCACTACTCAGTCGTAATTGTTCTAGTGAGACAAGATCGCTAACCATTACACCACCCCGAGGTGCCCTAGTGATTTTCCAAGCGTAGCTTAGATGTGGTACAAGGCCGAAAGTAGGGGGTACCCAGTAAGGATCGAACTCACTACTCATTTGTAATTATTCTAGCGAGACAAGCTCGCTAACCATTACACCATCTCGAGATACCCAAATAGTGAGTTTCTAAGCATAGATCAGATGTGGCACAAGGGTGAAACTATGGAGCACTCAGTACTTAGTTGTAATTGTGCTAACAAGACGAGTTTACTAATCATTACACCACCTCGAGGTGCCATATATATATATATATATATATATATATATATATATATATATATATATATATATATATATATATATATATATATATATATTACTATTCTTAAAAAAGTATAATATATATAATTTTTAAAAAATTTATAACATAATGTTATAAAATCACTACAAAAATAGAACTCCATTCTTTGTTGAAAAGAAAATAAATGGTTTTAAAAGTTTCAGATTAATTAACGATCCTTTTGTTACAAAAGCTAGAATAACCAATCAAAAACGAAGTACAGAAAGATTCAAAAGCTTGACAACAAAATCCTGGATTATAGCTATTTATATATTTAAATACGTGTAATATTAAAAATAATTTTTACTAACTAATAATTATAAATTTATATGATAAAATTTAATATTAAAATTAATGCTCCCCTAGTCTCTTTATTTTCTCTCTCTCTCTCTATCTATTTATTTAGTGTGTTTGTGAACTCCATTCTTTTGTATTACTTCTTTTCGAAGATTTCGTGTGTGTCTATCCTTTATTTTTAAGTGTGTGTGTTTGTGTGTGTGTGTGTGTGTGTGTGTGTGTGAGAGAGAGAGAGAGAGAGAGAGAGAGAGAGAGAGAGAAGGTGTTGACAATATATTTGCGCGAACAAAGTATCCTCCCAAAATCTGATGTTTGGTTACTGGTCAGATTTTGAGAAGTGGATCGGTCCGAAAAAAAGTTCATCACCCTTCTTGAGATGTACAATGGAATTTCGAGTAATTTTATAATGACAGAAAGAAGTGAACCCAATAACAAATCAATGGTTAATAACTGTTTTGACAGAATGAGATCTGTTGCTCTTAGGGAAGATTTTCCTTTTTGGAACTCTGGATTGGCGTTAGAAAGCCACAGAAAAGGAACAGCAGAAACCACATCACTTAAGGACTATCAAAAGCCGCAACAACTAAAATGAATATCACATGCAGATTGAGAAGAAAATGATCGAAACAATCGAAAGGTTGGCGTCCTAAACAAAAGGCTAGGAAGGAAACTTCCATCATTACCAGAAAGAGTAATAATAGTTCAGTCAGTTACGTGACTGACGAAGCAGATTTTTTCCGCAGTAGGTTGTCATTTCTTTCTGCGGTAGACCCAGTTGTCTTACCTGCTATTTACCCATAGATACGGGGGAGAAGAAGAGTATTCAGGGCTATTAGCACGTAAGTGTATATAACGGATTCGTCTGGAATTCCAACTCGTCTCTCCGATTCCTCACTCCGAGCCACTATCCATTACTTCACCATTACTCATATAATAGCTACAGAAATTTAAAATATTTTAAGAGAAAGATTTTAGAAATTTCAACCTACAGTGGTACTAGCTGCTCTGTCAGTGAATGCTAAATGTTTTCTTATTATTCCTTGCTTGAGATCAATCTTAATATTCATCTCTGCGCATTTACATAAATCGGATTCATATTTGTTTCACTTTATTTCTTTTGATTTAATTCAATTTTTTTTTCTTTATATGTATCAAGACGTATGTGCGTTGTACTTTCCTAGTTATCGTCTCAAAATTAGAAATCGGAGAGGCGAGTTCGAATTCCAGTCAGATTCGTTACTTACGCGCAAATACCCTTGGAAAGGATGTGAATCCATTTAATCTCCCCACAACTATGGGTTAAATAGCAGAAAAAATATGTCCTATAACCTTGCTTGGCAGCCAGTCTAGCGCAGAAAGAAACGGAATAAAGAAATCTTCTGCCTATAAATCAAAAGAGACATGATCGCCCAAGCGTGTATCATGTAAGTTTACTATTCGTCCATAATTAGAATATTGCCGTCACATATGTCCCGGTGCTCCTGCTATTTATCTATCTCAATGATAAAATCCAAAGAAGAATCAGCAATATTATTGGTCCTGATCTGGCAGCTCGGCATCAGTCACTTCCTCCACCGCCTTAAAGTCTTCTCGTAACTTTTCTATAAATACTTTCATGGTAATTGTTCGGATGAGCTCTTTACTATGGTACTTAAACTATTTGAATTTAAGCGCAATTCTAGACTGGCATCGAGATTTCATCAGTTTACAGTTGAGTTGGCTGCATGTAGGTTCTATGCTAACAGTTTCTTTTCTTGCTTGTGGAAGTACCTTCCATCTGCGTGCTTTCTAGCCAAATTTAATCTGCAAAAATTTAAATGCAATGTCAATAGCTATGTACTGTCCTGATTAGTCCCCTTTTGTTCTTGCTCCTTTAAAGGTTTTCTGTTTTTTAATCCTTTTACACCTATTAAGCCCTTGTTTCTTAGTGGCTTTATTGCCTTGCTTGGGGCGAACATTGGTACCTAACGATGGCACATCTGTCTAGTAGAAGCATTAAGATACAACTGTATGGCCTCAGTTGAACCAAGTCCATCTCGAAAAAGGTAACTTCCGTTGTTCTCTGCAAATCTCGAGATTTAGGTTGCTATAGATCATGATCTTTGGGTGTTTCAACATATATGCAAAATATTTTCATTTCAGTGCTTTTTTATTTTTTTCAGAATTTCACATATATTTCAAGGTCTACTGTCCTGTCATAAGCAGTGAGATTATTTGAAATAAGGAAACCTTTCCCTTTATCCAGCGTGTCTTTATTCTACGCTATTTATGACAACACGTGTCTCAAGTTTTTATTGTTTATATTATTGTTGTACATTTTAATTCATTTCGTTTTCAATATAAAAATAAGAGAAAAGGATTCCTCCTACACTACAAATACATATAGCAACGGGTAATTACTTTAACAACACTCAAATAATATCAAGTCAGGATTACTAATACATCAACCCTAACTTACCCCGTTACACGTTCATTATTACGATTTTAACTGTAATCCTCATCCACAAATGCCTTTTCAAGCTTGTATAGGGTGAAATGTACTAACAAAATAAAACAAAGTTAGTACGTAAACTTTAGTCTGTCCTTCCAAAGAACTGTTTTGAACAGTGAGCGCCGTTTGAAATTCAACAACTGCCACTTCGTCCATTCTTATATTTTCAATGTCAGACTCAGCTATGCGAATTATTCGACGAAAAAGACTAATTGTTGATGTTTTTAAAGATCGAGGCGCAGTTTGATAACGTTAGTTACATTCTGGAGATGCAATATGGCGCTTGTTTTAAGTGGGACGCTGGAGAAATGTTATCTCGAGTAGCGTAGAGACGGGGAATCTAGCCAGTTAAAAAGTAGCGATAAAAAATATCGTTTACAAGAAAAGAAAAAAAAAAGATTTGTTCGCTATCACATATTTATGGAGTATTTTGTTGAATAACACCAAGACTAGACGCCTGGGGCGTTTGTCTAGCACACCTGGCTTCCCATTCTTTCTTTTCAGTTCGTTTCCCGCTTAATTTGGTCAATATTATATTTTCCTGATATTTTCTTGCATGTTTATGTGTGTGAGTGTGTGTATCTTGTTTTCCCGTCGTCACAGACTAAAATTTCACTTATAACAATAACACACCCTACCCATGAAATCATTCCTATATAGTTAGTCTTTTAAAATATTTCTATTAAATAGATTTTCTTTCAGAAATAGACGCGTATTATAAGTGCGAACTTTTTAGCCACGCCTACTAAAAGTTTATGATTGAAACTTTTTATCTAATTTAGCAAACAATTCGATTTGTCTATGGACAATCCAAAATTGCAATTGAAAAACAATAATATTATAATTCTGCTTCTTGCTTAATTCCTTAACTAGTTAGCACGTCCGTTACGCCGGGCCATTATAGCAGCAACTCCTTGACAGCGCCTCATTACGCCTGCTTGGTCTCATGCTGTCCATTGAAATGAGGTGAAATAAATACATTAAATTAATAGCTTCACCCATCGCAAGGAAAGTTGGCTCTCTGTGTTGGGCCAGAAAGTATTTCTCGTCTGAGTCCATCCTTCAAATCTATAAATCAACCATCTGTCCTGGCGTGGAATATTGCTTTCATATACGGTCTGGTGCTCCCGCTGTACGTCTCGAGCTCCTCGACAAATCCAGAGACGGATATGCAAGATGATAGGTCCTGATCTGGCATCTAGTCTACAACGTGGCCTCTCTTTGTTTCTTCTACAAGTATTTTCACGGAAGCTGTTCCGACGAGTTGCTTTCGCTGGTTCCCGGACAACATGAATTTAAACGTGCTACTAGGCTGGCATCTCGGTCTCACCCTTTCACTGTCAAAACAGTTAAATATAACCATCTCTTTTACTCAAACAGCTTCTTCTCCTGCACTTCCCGTCTGTGGAACTCCCCCCACTTACTTGCTTCCCCGATGACTATAATCTTCCAATATTCAAGTGTAATGTCAATTGATATCTGATACCTTGATCTTGTCCCCCGTCCTTCTCTGTATCCTTTCCTCAAACACGCCTCTTTACTCTTGTTCTCAATCCTCTGTAACCCCTTGGGTGCTAGTGGCACTCCTGCCTTACTGGGGATGAATTCCCTTAAAAAAAACAAAAAAAAAAAAAACCCCAAAAAACCCTGTTTGATTATTTTATACTCTTCATTGATAATGGATTTACTCTATAGGCTGCAATACCAAGAGTTTGTATACAGGGGACTGGCAAGGTATTACAGGGCGTTTATCTGAGGTAAATAATGGGCCCTTCGTGTTTGATTGCGTGGATAGACCAGAGAAAACGCTTGAAGCACCTGTTCCCGTACGATCACCAAAGTTAAGCCACGTGGAGCATGGTCAATACCTACATGGGTAACCACGGGGGAATACCAGGCGCTGGAAGCTTGGATGTGTGGGCGGTATGATGGATAATGGCATGGAATTGTTAATTGGGGTCGTTATATTCACTTACGCGCAGGTAACCTTGGGAAAGGTATTATTCCAGCTCTTCTGAACAATTATTATAAAAAAAAAAAACAAAAACAAAAACAAAAAAACTTGCAATCTTAAAAAAAATTTTCTGGCTTTAAATAATGGTCGTAGAAAACGAATCAATCAGCCAATCAATCAAGATCGGAGAAAAGATATATCAAAGGTACTATTTGGTTTTAATGAAAGAAAGAAAGGGAAGATAGAGGAGGTGTTAATACTCTCATGTGTTTAACGTCTGCTTTTGAATGCTTTTCATTTGTACCCTCTTACTTCATTTAAATAACAATTTGCATTCATATTTATGATTGTTCTTGAAATATTTTGCTAAAGTTGTGAAGCTAAAACAAAGTAACAGGCGAATTTCCATGGTTATTTTATAGCTGTAGAACAATCAAGAAACTTATTCAATTATTAGCTTGAGAATGGAGATTCGTCATAAAATTAAAATAAGAAAACATTGTAATTTTCATGAGTACTGCTAGTACTCCATAGATTAATTTAAAAAAAAAGCTCCACATCATTATGTGATCATAATTTGTTACATGAATCGCAACTTGTTTTTATTTACTGACGTTGTTTACTACCAAATGAGATATAGTCCTTTGAACACGCCCGAATTCTTCAAGCTACGTAGCTGAACATATTACTTTATTCATTATTCATCAATTAACTCTTTTTATAAATTCTCAGCCAATTTGAAACGTGACACAAGGTTAATTATTAGGTAAACTCCGATACATTAATTCCCTCCTTTTTGTGCAAAGTGGTGGTGATCATATTCTTTCATACGGGGGAGGTGATCATATTCTTATCAGACATATTCTTTCCCTGGCTGCGCAGGTAGCGTAATGGTAATCGGCACGGAAATTAGAAACGACGAACAGAATGCATCCCTTCTTGCCACCATTCAGTTATTGGTTAAATAGTAGAACAAACTAGTCTCTCTCTATATTTGGGTGGCAGTCAATCGAGAAGAAGGAAAGTCCTGAATGTAAAAACTTGATGAAGTCAACCGTAAATCGTGCCACTATCTTTTCCAAGATGTCATAACAATTTACAGATCATAAAAAGGAATCTGTGGAGATAGGACGAGCTCTTATTGCCTGGATGCTGAATGGTATGGTATTAAATGAATGGTATGCTATTAAGTGAATGGTATGGTATTAAGTGAATGGTATGCTATTAAGTGAATTGTATGGTATTAAGTGAATGGTATGCTATTAAGTGAATTGTATGGTATTAAATGAATGGTATGCTGTTAAGTGAATGGTATGGTATTAAATGAATGGTATGCTATTAAGTGAATGGTATGGTATTAAATGAATGGTATGCTGTTAAGTGAATGGTATGGTATTAAATGAATGGTATGCAGTTAAGTAAATGGTATGGTATTAAATGAATGGTATGCTATTAAGTGAATGGTATGGTATTAAATGAATGGTATGCTGTTAAGTGAATGGTATGGTATTAAATGAATGGTATGCTATTAAGTGAATGGTATGGTATTAAATGAATGGTATGCTGTTAAGTGAATGGTATGGTATTAAATGAATGGTATGCTATTAAGTGAATGGTATGGCATTAAATGAATGGTATGCTATTAAGTGAATGGTATGGTATTAAATGAATGGTATGCTGTTAAGTGAATGGTATGGTATTAAATGAATGGTATGCTATTAAGTGAATGGTATGGTATTAAATGAATGGTATGCTGTTAAGTGAATGGTATGGTATTAAATGAATGGTATGCTATTAAGTGAATGGTATGGTATTAAATGAATGGTATGCTATTAAGTGAATGGTATGGTATTAAATGAATGGTATGCTGTTAAGTGAATGGTATGGTATTAAATTAATGGTATGCTATTAAGTGAATAGTATGGTATTAAATGAATGGTATGCCATTAAGTGAATGGTATGGTATTAAGTGAATGGTATGCTATTAAGTGAATTGTATGGTATTAAATGAATGGTATGCAGTTAAGTGAATGGTATGGTATTAAATGAATGGTATGCTGTTAAGTGAATGGTATGGTATTAAAAAAAAATCTATAGAGTCCCGACATCAACCATGACACTAATTTCGAAAATATGGCTCTTATAGTTTAATAATTAATTTCCAAGATGAGTAATTGTCAGTATTCTTGTATTATTTCAAACTATTGTCCTCATCTTGGCTGATATAGCTGTTATTATAGGGACAAAGTTTCAACCAAGGTCATCATCAGGTATCCATTGATTGTCTATGTGATATCTATTGAATATTGTGATATTTTATCCCTGTGATATCAGTTACGGTTCGAGCCTTCGCTTCACTACTGGATCCAGCGATTGAACTCATGACCACTAAATGACAGTAACATCAATTCATATATCCACTACGCCACCGCCCTGAAATACATTTGTGGTGTGTTTTCAATGCCAGGTGCTAATGACATTTGTTTATGATGACGAGTTCGTACTTTTCATAATTTAGTATTTAATTTCTGACATCAGTAATTGGCAATATTCTTGTATTATGTAAAATTTCTAAAGTTATCCTCGTTCCAGAATCATTACGCAGCCAAATACGCATAGACGTACCATTCTCTTCAGGTCGTGGCCGATCATTTCTCACCTCAACTTCCTCTCTTTTGTTACTCTAAGGAATCTTTGACCATTTAAGATCATTCTTTTTCTCCCTTCTGCCATCTATTTACACAAGGTTGTCAAATGGGTTATTCGCTACTTTTTAATTTTTGTAAATGTATCCTATGAGTATTAAATTCTCTAAGCCATCTTTCCTCATTATGTGTCACATAGCTTCGGCCATTGTGCTATCCGGCTTTCCTCAAATGCCTATCCGGATAATCTTCAGGCAATTTCGAACTAAACGCACTATTTAGTCTACGGGTATGGATTCGTTTCGTTTCGTTTCGTTCCATTTCTAGAGCATTTCTAGAGATATCTTTTCTAGTTCTTATTTAGTAGTGCTCTGTTATTGTTCACTCCGTTCCCACTGTGTACAAGTACATACTGCCCGATCAGGGATTGAACTCACAACTACTATGTCGCCAAATTCACGAACAAACGCTTTAGTCTATTGAGATGTCCCATGGAATTATAGTGTCGGAGTAATCATACGTTTGAAAGAATCAGGACCTCCTTAGTACGGCTAGCATACACATAGATATATGGTAGGCATTAATAAATAAATAGAGAGACATGCCAGCAAAGCCTCGACAGCAGAAGTAGCAGCAGCAGTAGAAAAGAGAAGAGTGAATTCAAGCATGAGAATCAGCAATACTCACGTTAAGTTTAAGGCTAAATTATCTACATTATTTACATTATTCAGACTATTGTCCTCATCTTTGTCGCCATATTTATTACAACGTTTCGGCCGTTTTATTTCGCTCACTGGGGTAGACTGTTCTAGTTCCACGTGCCATGTTTGATGGATGTCAGTTATCAGTTATCCCCTGTTAATTTCCCTCTGAAAGTTCTTCACTGCCTTAACCGGGTATTGAACTCACACTCTTTGGGTCCTGTCACTGGATCTAACCAACGCCTTTATCCACGGCAGTTGAGAACTTTCAGATGAAAATTATCAGGAGATAACTGATAACTGACATCCATCAAACATGGCACGTGGAACTAGAACAGTCTACCCCAGTGAGCGAAATAAAGGGTTCACTTCGAGATTCCAACCACCTGAAGAAGGCCGGAGCGTACAACGGCCGAAACGTTGTAATAAATATAGCGACAAAGATGAGAACAATAGTCCGAATAATGTAAATAATGTACATAATACCTCATCTCAGAAATATAGACAGACTCTAAATTATCTACTTTGGATTTATCACACACAGAGAGACATACACACACACAAACAGACACCCACACGCGTGAACATACAACACACACACACACACACAGATACATATATATATATATATATATATATATATATATATATATATATATATATATATATATATATATATATGTGTGTGTGTCTGTGTGTGTGTCTGTGTGTGTCAGTGTGTTTTTAAAACTATAGCTTGACCAAAAAAAGTCAACTCTGAACACAATTTTACGATAATAAGATACGTGATGTGTGAAATGCGTTCTTGATATTGTTTGTTTGAACATATAGACTCCTGAAGAGGAGATGACCACACCTCATTACATTAAATAGTTCACTAGCGGTTTTCACAGTAAAGTAGGTTTTATGAGATGGTGTTGCTAATTCGCACACCCAAACTATAAACGTTGTTATTTCTCCTAGACTGGTTACCAACTGAGGCTAGACGTCTTTGCTCTCTAAGTAATAACTGACGGAGATAGATCCATATATCTCCAAAAGGCATTCGTGCGAAAGTGACCGCACCGGCCTCGGTTGGAATTTTGAATTCGGTTTGCCGATCCCAGTATCTCTGTTGGTAACAGATACGTTTCGTGCGCATTCTTATTAGAAGAGGTTAAAATATTAAACAGAACCTGTCTAGGATGAACGTCGTCTACAGACACATAAAGAAGACCTAGAAAATTATCGACAAAATGTTGGTATATAAATAACAAAGATGATAATAAGTATGTGAATAACTAATTTCATGGTGAAAATACACAAGCTTACAATGTTATTTAACAAAACTAGACACATGACTGAAATGTATTCAATCTGAGAAGCCTTTTCTTATAGGTCGAATCCAGGAAAATAATAATGACAGTATTTCTTAATCAAAACTGCATTCAAATTTTAAATTTTCTTTTCTTTGTGTTAATTAGCCTTATCAAATAAGCATTTACATTTTCAAAATCGTTTCGTGAGTTCAATGAATGTATTGTATGAGAGTGCATTATTAGCGTTTTAAAATAATCACGCATTAAAAACGAGACAACCATTGTTAGTCAGCTGAAGAGAGAACGTC